GATATTTCAAGTGTAAAAAAAAAAAGGAAAAACGTGGGAAGTTCCACTATATACATTTTTCTATGTTATAGACTGTTCAAAATATCGAAGTGCTTATATGGCATTCATCATATATTTTCCATGTCTTTTACATAATTTCAATCTATACCCCCACCTTTATCTACCAATTTTCATTTGTAATCTCTTAATGTTTACTTCTATTTGTCCGTACGGAAAGAATTTTTCATGGCATTATGCTTGTATCTTTTACTTCCAAATACATGGTTACCATGTTTAAATTCTCTCACACAATTGGTGATAAAAATCATTCCAATCTAAAATTGATAATCAAAGCAAGAAAAAGCTCCAACTTAATCAATGTATGTATGTATGCATGTATATTTACATCCCATGCAATTGGTGCCAATGAAATATTTGAAGATATTGATTTGTTAAATTAAATAAAATAAATATATATCTCTAAATTAATTTATTATGGGAATCAAAGATAATTAAAGGATCTAACTGCTCTAAAAACAAAACTGTGTGCTCATTGCATTTCAAAATGATGCATTTAAGACCAATGTCATCTAAATCATAAAAAAATATTTTGCAAGCAGTGGAGGCAATTTTAGTTTTTTTTTTTTTTGTAAGCCTTTCTCTGTAAGCATCCCTTTCTATTTTTTCATTAAAAAGAACAGAGAGAAGATAAATTAGTCAATCGTTACATATGACTTGATATGTTTGTAATATAAAATTGCTTAAAATTTTTTAAAAATTTCGTGTCCAGGTGAGGATTTGCCTAATAAGCTGTTCTTCGGGTAGAAGGGGAAAGATTGGGTGGCTCTACCAATCAACCCATTTAAGTGCTTCCTTTGCTAATCTTATACTGCTTCTCAATAAATATCATTGCTAATGGAATAGCTTCTACTTTCTAAACATATTTATATTCAAGGAGTTTACATGATCTAATTTTCATCAGTTTTGACCTAAGAGATGTTAAAACTAGATAATAAAATCATTACTATTAGCAAAGAAAATAAAAATTTTATCTATGACTTTGTGTGTACTGTGTAATATATTAAACCGAGGAATAGAGATGAAAGAAGCTTACTCACAATCTATGGCTCTATTGTTTGACGATGTAGAAGAGTAGTCCGGATTGAAGAATATCTATAACTCTAACGCTCCAACAAGCCTTTAATTTGGGCTCCGAAGATGAAATATTGAAGGGTGACAGCGAGAGGGGGGAAATGGGGATAAAGCTGGGGAAAATTAGGGATGGGCCTGAAGTAGGTTAACAAAAACTAGGGGGCATCAGTCAAGGATGGATAGGGCTCATAGAAAGCATGTTTTAAAAACACAGCAACAACAAAGCCTTAATCCCACTATGTGGGGTCGGCTACATGAATCCTTTTTCTCTATTGCATCCTATTTAGTGTCATATTTTCTCATTTTAATAAAGTAAGATCGTTTTTTTATACATTAAGCCAGGCTTCCTAGCTCTACCTCTGCCTGAAGTCTTGCTAGGTCTACCTAAAACATCTACTCTCCTAATTGGATCATCAGATGTTCGACGTTTAATGTGACCAAACCATCTAAGTCGAATTTCTCTAATTTTGTCCATCACAGGAGCTACACCAACTCTATCAAGGATATATTCATTTCGCATTTTGTCTCTAAGTGTAAAGCCACCTAAGTCCACTCATCCACCTAATCATTCTCATCTCGGCAACACTTAACTTAGTATTATGCTTCTCTTTTAAAGGTCAACATTCAGCGCCATAGGGCATTGCAGGTCTCACCACCATCTTATAAAATTTCCTTTCAGTCTAAGCGGTACTTTTCTATCACACAAAAGGGTCGAAGCATTTCTCCACTTCAACCAACCAACTTGAATTTTACTATTAACATCCCCGTCTATATCACCATCGCTCTGAACAACAGACCCAAGATATAAAAATCGTTCACACCTTTAATAATTTGATCACCCAAAGCTACACTTCTGTCATTAGAGCTACTACTACTAAAACTGCATTCTATGTATGCAGTTTTAGTTCTACTCAAATGAAGGCCTTTAGACTCCAATGTAGACCTCCATAATTCAAGTTTTTCCTAGGCTTTTTCTCTCGTCTTATCCACGAGAAGAATATCATCAAATATAAGCATACACCAAGGTACATGCAAAAAAAGCATACATCAAGGTACACCATCCTATAAATGTCCACTCAGACCATCCATAACTAAAGCAAAAAGATATGGGCTTAAAACTGATCCCTAATGTAATCCAACGGTAATAGGAAAATATTTGGTGAATCCTCCTTTAGTTTAAACACAAGTAACAACTCTAGTATACATATCTTTAATGACTTGAAACATGAGTATAAGTCATATTAACACCTCTCTTCTCAAGAACTCTCCAAAGGATTTCTCTTTAAACCTTATCATAATTTTTTTCTAAATCAATAAAAATCAAATGTAGATTCTCCTTATTATCTTTGAACTTCTCCATCATGCCTCTCAATAAATGTGTAGCTTCCATAGTAGACTTGCCCGACATAAGTCCAAATTGATTATGAGAAATCTTTGTAATACATCTTAACCTATGTTCAATTACCCTCTCCAATAATTTTAAAGTATGAAATAAATGTTCAATTACCCTCTCCAATAATTTTAAAGTATGACACATCAACTAAATTCCTCTATAATTAGCACTCTCGTGCATCCCCTTTATTCTTAAAAATGGGGACCAAATTACTCTTCCTCCACTCCTCATGCAGCTTTTTAGTTTTTAAAATAATAAAGAGTTTAGTAAGTCAAGTTCCCAAATCTCGTAAATATTTCCACACTTCATTTGGGATATCATCAGGTCCTACAAACTTTCCACCCTTAGTTTTCTTTAAAGCCTCATCAACTTCTTTTTTACTAATGCGACGGTAAAAATGAAACGTTTTATTATTATTAACGATATTAAGATCACTAAGGTCGATCGTATCTTTAGAATTTTTTTTAAAAAGTTTATCAAAATAACTCACCCACCTATATTGAATATCTTTTTTTAAGAAAATCATTTTTTGATTTTCATCTTTAATACACTTTACTTGAGTTAAATTTTTATTTTTCTTTTCTCTTTGTTTGGCTAGTTTATACATATATTTTTCACCCCCTTAATATATAATCTATTATAAAGATCATTAAAAGAAGATTTTTTAGCATCACAGATTGTTCTTTTAGATTTTGTGCTGGCCGTTTGATATTTTTCCTAGTTCTCTAAGCTTTTATATTTAAACCAATTTTTATAACATAACTTCTTATATTTTTTCTTTTCTTGCACATTATTATTCCAACACCAACTATTTTTATTTATATAAACTTTTTTCTTTTGATAATCCAAGTGCATCTTTTACTACTTGTTTAATAGTATTTGTTACTTTATCCCATATAATATTTGTTTCTCATGAACATCCCAAATTTTGAAATCTTGAATTTTTCTCATAAAAATAATTTTATTTGTATCTTTTAGATTCTCCCATCTAATTCTACGATGATGAGTCCTAGTATTCTTTAGTTTACAACTCTTCATCCTTAAATTTAGAATTAATAAACGATGTTGGGTACTTAAATCCTCACTTGGAATGACCTTACAATCTTTACAATATCAACGATCTCTTCTTCTCATAAGAAATAATCAATTTGTTTTTTATTAGATCTATTCTTATAAGTAATAAAATGCTCATCTCTTTTCTTGAATGAAGTAGTAGTATTAACAAAATCACACGCTAAAGCAAAATCTAAAATAGCTCCATCTTCTTCATTAATCACTCCAAAATCGTAGCCACCACGAATATTTTTGAATTTTTCTACCACTCTACCGACATGTCCATTTAAAACTTCTCGAATAAAAATTCTTTCTTCAAGAGGTATCATTTGCATTAAGTCTTCTCAGTCATTTCAAAATTTATCTTTAGACCCTATATCTAAACCTACTTAAGGAGCATAAACACTTATAATATTAAAAATCTCAGTATCAATGATAATCTTAAGGGCTATAATTCTATCTCCAACTCTATTAATTTTTACAACATCATCTTTCAAACTCTTATCTATAATTACACATACACCATTTCTAATGTGACTCTTACCAGAATACCAAAGTTTAAAACTTAAGTTATCAATCTCTTTAGCTTTTTTTCCAACCCATTTAGTTACTTGAATACATAAGATATTAATATTTCTATGAATCATAATATCAACTGTATCAATTAATTCCATTAATTTATCATTGAGAGTAACTATATTTCAAGATTCTATCATAATGTTAGTTTCATTAGTTTCATGAACTAATTTTGTTACCTGCATCCGTTCGTAAAAATTATTTTAAAAACACAGCAAATAGATCAAAAATTTTTTCAGGCTTTTAAAAGTTAATTCGAATCAATTTAAACAAAATTAATAAAAACAAGGAAGATTTACATGCATACCACTCAATTTATATGTATTTACATATCTTACGCCTAAACTTCAATTTATACATGCAGACCACCCTACATGTATATGGATGAAAAGGTGTATTTCACTTTTTAAATGTTAAAATTGTGTATTTTTTATTCAGTATGAAAACTTTATATAAATATAAAAAAGCCAAGTTTAGATGTTAGATATCTAAATACATCGGAATTGGGTGGTATTTATATAAATGCCCCTAAAACAAATAGAAATTAATAAACAAACATTTTTTTTTAAAGCAAAAGAAAAAAAAAAAAACAGAACAATTGATTCTAAACACTGCCTTGGGTCATTTTAAGATAGTTTTTGGTTTTAAAACTTTAAATAATCCTAAATCTTATCATTTAAGTCAAATTTGAATTTTTTCATGGTTGCTTATCATCGTATTACTTCAATCCCCCGATATTTCTTCTTTTGATGTTGAATGCACAAACCAATCAAAGTGAATAGCATTCTTTTGAAAGCTCATTAGAAGCTTGGACTTCATTTTAACTATGTTATTCTTACGCTTGAAGGGAATGTATCTCGTGGAAAAACTACTTACGTTCACTGCAAAGCTGGGCGTGGGCGCAGCACAACTATTGTTCTCTGCTACCTGGTATGTTATTAAATAAATTTTTTTTTTCTAAGGATATAATTATTATAGGTGGATGCTTGGTAATGTGCTTTCATAATGTAGGTAAAATACAGGCGGATGACACCTAGTGCAGCATATGAGCATGTTAGAGTGATTAGACCGAGGGTTCTCTTGGCTTCTTCACAGTGGCAGGTATCTTCATCTGTTTTATTCGCTATTTTTATTTTTTTCTTTTTTGGGGTATTTACATCCATAGCTCACAATTCTTATGTATTTACATATCTCACACCTAAGCTTTCATATTTAATCACATAGCACAGAAATTAGCACCAAAGTGTTATGTATGTAAATATGAAAGTTTAGGTGTGAGGTATATAAATACTTAAGAACTGTGTGCTACGCACATAAATTACTCTTTTTTTCCTGGTTCACAGAAGGATCTGTTTGATTTTTGGAAGATTATTATATTTGATGCTTTATTTTGATTTATCTTTAGTTGACTTATTTTGTTTACGAGGAATTCGTATGTATTTTTTGGGTTCTTGGCGTGCTCAAATGATAGCATGTTTAGGTATTCTGTTAGCACGTCCAATCTAAAAGTTTTGATTCTCTTGAAAAAAATAGTAGGATTACTTATGGGAACGCCAAATTGATCTTTATTAAAAGAAAAATAGAAGCGTTCTTCGATTAAATATGATGTTATATGATTTATTGGTTACGGAAGAAGAAGCCAGCCATGAATGACTTTCTTCTCTGGAGTGTATAGTTCTAATTTTGTCGAATAGTGCTGCGCTCTTACCTCCCATTTATTTACTGTACAACGACTGATCGACCATTCTTATACTTCGAAGAGTTTGATTTCTATATGTTGTGTGTGATTGCACAATAGTTTACCTGAAAGGCTCATAATTTTCCTTCCACGGATAATAATAGCACTGTTTCTCTTCTGGTTAAGATGAAAGAGACAACGCCTCCCTACATTTTTCTTTTTCAGCCCCTCGTAAATGTTGTGAAAAATGACGCCAATAATGCGAAAAATGGAACGAGTAAAATTGCAAGTAGAAAAAAATACCAGAGCAACACACAGATTTACGTGGTTCGGCAAATTTGCCTACGTCCACGAGCTGCAGTGGATTTTATTTGTTCGAAGAATTACACCGTCGAGTGTCTCGACGTTTACAAGAAAATCTCTATTTTCTTCTCTTCTTTACTCTCTCTCTCTCTCATCCTCTCTTTCTCTTAGCTCTCAACAGGACTTGGCTTGACCTTGCTTGACTTGTGACTTTGTATCTCTTTTAAGCCAAAAGGGCTATTTATAGAAACCATGAGAGCTGTAGGTGGGAGGTAGGTAACCGGTAGGTGGGATGTGGTAGGTGGGCGGTAGGTGAGATTCTTATTTAAGAGACTAATTAAATTGTGGTGGATTGGGTCTCCACATTACTCAACAAGTCTCCCACTTGGAGACTGGGACACTGACTGCATCACCTACTGGCTGCATCATCTACTAGTTGTACCGATTTTTTCCTCAAACATGATATCCTTCACCTCTGCAACTCGAAACCCTTATCTTTATGCCAGAAGACCAGGTGAAGTTTAGCACAACTTCAGCTTCTCACGAGTAACACCTTCAGTTGACATATTACCGTCAACGCAACATTTTACCACCAAGCTCTTTTATGGGTTACTCCTGTATCTGCTTACAACTCTCACTGCGTGAGCAATATCCTGCCCCTACTGAAAGCTCTTTTCAACAAGTCCAGCCTTATACCTCTTACTGCCACCAAATATAGTCTTCACCCGGTACACTCACTTGTTGTGTAATGTCTTGTTCCTTGGTGAAAGTTCTGCCAGCTCCCAAGTCTGATTCCCTGGCAGGGAATCCGTCTCCTTCTTCTTGGTCAGCTTCCATTAGCTTAAATTCTCATCTTGCAAAATTTCTTCATAACTTTGTGGTTCTTCATCATGTGTCTGTACAAAGGTCGATTTTCCTGCCTTTGGCGCTTTACCACTTTTCAAGAAATTGATCTTTTTTTGCTTCCCCATAATGCATCTTTGACTAATGTTTCTCGCCTGAGTAAACTTGTAGTAATATATAATGTGTCAGTTTTCTTAACCCTAACCAGTACTAATGCTCCTTTGGTAACTTTCCAGGTGCTATTTGAGAACACTACCGAATGACCACCATTATTGAGCTGCCCAACAAAGATAAAGTTTTGCTTCAACTCAGGAACGTGTCTGACCATTTGCATAGTCCATTTGCTTTTGTTAGGGAGTGTAATATCAACGTCTCCCATCCCCACCACGTTTAGAGTTTTTTCATCAATCAGATATGTCTTCCCAAAGTTGTCTGCAACATAATTTTGCATCAACTCCCAACGACAACATGTATGGAAGGGAGCTCCTGAATCCAGTATCCAGTCATTAACAAAACTATGAACTGCCAGAAATAGTGTATCTTATATTTCTTTAGTTACAATATTAGCATCATCATCCTCCTTCTTAGGATTTATGCAATTCATTTTTATGTGGTCAGCCTTGCCACAATTCTAGCAGGTTGTCTGCTGACCAGTCTTTGATTTTGATTTTCCTCTATTTGAGTTCCTGTCATGTGATCTCTCCCTGGAATCAACATTCAACGCCGAAATTAAACACGAGGCCTCGCCAAAATCCTTCATGTGCACCTCCTCAGCCAAAATCAAATCACGAATATCATCATATTTCAGTTTAGATTTACATGCAGAATTACTAACTGTCATCCTCATGGCTTCTCAACTCAACTATTTGATCCAACAATATCAGCGCACGTATCTCATCATCAAAATCAATTTCAACAGACGACAACTGATTTGTGATAGTGTTGAAATCATTTAGGTGTTGAGCAACAGACACATCTTCTGCCATCTTCAAGTTGAATAACTTTTTCATCAGATGCATCTTGTTATTCGCCAATGGCTTTTCATACATACCTGATAAAGCCGTCATGAGATCTGCAGTAGTCCTCTACTTGATGATGTTGTGGGCAACCGATTTCGACAGGGTTAATTGTATAACTCCAAGCACCTGTCGATCCAACAGATTTCATTCTACCTCGTTCATCTTTTCTGGTCGCTTTCCCAGTAACAGAAGATCAAGTTTATTTCCATAGAGGTAGTCATCTATCTGCATCCTTCAGTAAGCAAAATCTGTGTCATTGAACTTCTCGATCCTCAATGTCATCACTTCATCTCCGCCCATCGTTCTTCCTTAGATTCGAACTCAAGCTCTGATACCAGTTGTTGTGAAAAACGACGGGAAAAAAGAGAAAAATAGAACGAGTAAAATTGCATGCAGAAAAAAATACTAGAGCGACATACAGATTTAAGTGGTTTGACAAATTTGTCTACGTCCATGGAGCTACAGAGAATTTTATTTTTTTGAGGAATTACTCCGTCGAGCGTCTCAGTGTTTACAAGAAAATCTATTTTTTCTTCTCTCCCTTCCTCTCTCTCTCTCTTCCTCTCTTTCTCTTAGCTCTCAAGAGGACTTGGCTTGACCTTACTTGGCTTGTGGCTTGACATCTCCTTTAAGCCAAAAGAGGCTATTTATAGAAACTATGAGAGCGGTAGGTGGAAGCTAGATGAGCGGTAGGTGGGATGTGGTAGGTGAGCGGTAGGTGAGAAAGTAGGTGAGCGGTAGGTGAGATTCATAATTAGGATGCTAATTAAATTGTGGTGGACTGGATCTCCACATTACCAAACAGTCAAGACATAAAATTGTGCAATTAGATATTGAGGTATTATTCTTCTTTGAGGCAAGAACTAAACGATAAGATTTATGATGCACGAACATATCCATATAGATAGGCGTGTACTGTCCTACACACATCATATACGAATGCTTGTATGACAATTTTGTCATGCATCCAACTAAAACTAAGAAAAATAATTTTGGGCACTTGTCCCACGCACGTCTTTCAAAATAATATTCAAATTTTATAAATAGTAACAAAATGCATAATAAAATGTAAGATTTTAATGATTTATGTTGTACCAAATGATGATGTTTATATTTTATTAAAATTTGATTATTTATGATATGTTGTTATGCTTAATGATTTTGATAATTTTTTATTAGTTTTTGTCTACTATTTTAATTTATGAATAACATGATATTTATTTCTATTTTTTATTCTTAAATATCATTATCTTTCATATTAATAATGTTAGGTTCATCTTATTTGCTTTGTTTGTTTAATTTATGCATAAATATGTATTATTTTAAAATTTATTATTATTATTATTATTATTATTATTACTACTGCTACGGCCTTCGTATGAGTAGAACTAAAACTAAATACATGAAATATAATTTTAGTAGTAGTAGCTATAGTGACAGAGCTGTAATTATGGGTGATCAAATCATTAAAAGGTGTGAATGTTTTAAATATTTTGCGTTTATTCTTCAAAGTGATGCTGATATAAATGGGGATGTTATTAGTAGAATTCAAATTGGTTGAAGTGGAGGAATGTATCGGGTCTATTGTCTGACAGAAAAGTACCACTTAGACGGAATTGAAAATTTTGTAAGATGGTGGTGAGACTTGCAATGCTCTATGGCACAAAATGTTGGCCTTTAAAAGAGAAGCATAGAACAAAGATAAGTGTTGAGATGAGAATGCTTAGGTGCTTGAGTGGCTTGACATTTTGAGATAAAATGCAAAATGAATATATCTGTGATAGGGTTGGTGTAGCTCTAGTGGCGGGGAAGATTAGCGAGAGTTGTCTTAGATGATTTGGACACATTAAACGTCGACGTCGACCATCTGATGATCCGGTTAGAAGAGTAGTTTTTTTAGATTCGACTTATGTTAAGAAAGATAGAGATAGACCTAAAAACATTTGGACATATTATTTAAAAAATTATCTTAATCTACTAGAATTAAATGAAAATATGGCTCTCAATAGGACACAATGGAGAAAAAGGATTCATGTAGCTGAACCCATTTAGTGGGATAAAGGCTTGTTGTTTAGTGGGATAAAGGCTTGTTGTGGCTTGTTGTTGTTGTTGTTATTGTGTGTGTGTATCAATGCGTGTCAATGACATGTGTTCATGTTCTATGTTTTCAAAAATAATTGTGTCCTTACCCGCATGGTGCTCGTGTGTCCTTGTTTGTATTGGCGAACAATTTTTCTTTTTTTAATTTAAGAAAAGTTTTATCTAACATCTGCTGTTTTGTCAGGCTGTACAAAAATACTACCATCTTGCTGTAGAAAAAAATAACAATTTCCAAAATTTCGACAATTCGTTACCACCTCCATTAGCCCTCACGGCCACCACCCCACACCTCTCAACTTTCGAAGACAGCTCCTTTGTTATGGTATCAAAATCTGATCTCGATGGATATGATGGAAACAGCAGCAACCTATGGGCAGAACTGAGCTTAGTTTACAGGATGCAGTTTGCCAGTCAAGCAGCCATTGCGAGGCTTTCATGTCTCTGGCTTCGATGTCACGATGATAAGAAGCGAGGAGTCGAGAGCTGCTCTCTTGAGGCTGATCAGATGGGAATGATGGGGCTTCCTTGCCTGATGACTGGAGTGGTTGTAAAATTGTAAACAGTGAGTATTGCACTTTTAACCTTTTGTATGTAGTTAAAAATATATATATATATATATCAATAAACACCTCTGTACTTATTCAACCTTGCTGGTGCTGAGCCCTCTACCGGAAAGCCATCTGCCAGCAAGTGTGATGGGAAGTCAATTATCAGGTGGTTACTTGTTTGCATGTACATGTATATAAAGTGATAATTCAACGACCTTACTTTTTGTATCTTTAATAGTTGATTTTTATTTCTGCCGTAACCCTGAGTTAGGTAATGCTTTGTTGGGATGAGCTGTAAAATTTTGGAAGATTTGCATACTTACCAATCAAATCCTCTCATGTATTTACATATCTATTACCTGAACTTCAATTTTTACCTATACACCGCCTTACCTATGCATGCAAACGTTCACTTTTTAAAAATTAAAATAGCAATCTTTTGCATGTGATATGAAAGGCTTGTTTGGGTGGTATAAATGTAAAAAAGTAAAGTTTAGGTTTTAGGTATGTCAATATGTATTATGAATTAGTTGGTATACGTATGTGAATACCCCTAAGATTTAATACATGTGAAATGTTTGATGTGCAACATGACAAAAAGAGATTTTGTATTTTAATACATTGTTGATTTCACAGCAATTGTTGTCATTTATAATCTGTATGATTATTGTATGTAATCTTCACGATTTTTTGTTTCCTTATGAGACAATTTTTTTTGTTGATTATACGCGAATTTCTTATTGCCTTGCTGCTTTACTGTAGCACTGATAACATGTTGTCATTTTAGGTCTGTTGTCCAAAAATTGAAAACGCTTTATTTCATTGCGTATTAGTTTTTGTGGTTCATTTGGACAAGAATTCAGTCACGATGTATTGACCCAATTTTTCTCTTAATTTGTACTCCGCCTTTTGGAAAAATTATTCCACACGGATCAGACGTGCGGTGTCTGATCCGGACCGTAAATCACCTGATCTACGGTCTCAATATATTTCGGTGGGCTCCACCTAAATTTTTTTTTTAAAAAAAAAGCGGAAATAATTCTGACCGTAGATCACTATGATCTACGGTCAGGATCGGACACCGCATGTAGAGATGCATGCGATGTTCGTACGCAATAATTTCTCCGCCTTTTGGGTGCCCTGCAATTTCTCTCTTTTTATATCTCCGTGGCATTTACATACCACCCAATTCCTATTTATTTACGCATCTAACACCTAAATTTTAATTTTTATATTTATACCATCCCAATCATTTGCATTACATCAAAATTATCACTATTTTAATTTTAAAAAAAGGAAATGCACATTTTTATGCATAGATAAGATGACATGCGTGTAAAAATTGAAGGTTAGGTGTTAGATATGTAAGTACATAAGAATTAAGTGGTATGTATGTAATTCTTCCCATTTCTTTTTGGGTTTTTGGTTGTAAAAAATATGATAAAACAAAGATTTATATACATATCACTCAATTCTTATGTATCTAACACCTAAGTTACAACTTTTACATAAATATATTAACTTTTTAAAAATTAAACTAGTTGTATTTCTATATGATATGAAATAATTGGGTGCTATAAACCTAAAAATTTCTAAGGCTTAGATATATAAACACATAAGAATCAAATGGTATGCATGTAAAAGCCCCAAAAGAAAATCAAACAAACGTCTCCTGCACAAGATGGAGAGATCTGCATGTCCAAATAGAGACAGGAATTATTATTTCCCATAACAATTATAGCCAACCTAACATAATGCTTACATTCACAGAAATCAGAACAACTGCGTCAGCTCAGTTCTTATAATATCTGGAGCAACCCGCGAGTGATTCAAATGATGAGCATGGAGCAGTAGAAGTCTTCAGTCATAAAGAAGGCGAGCTGGCACTTTAATTACACAGCCTAATGATGTGAAAAATCTATGGCGCACCAGTCAGTTTAAAGCCCAACAGCTTCCTGCCTCAATGAATAGGCCAACACGTCGCATTCATTACGCCGTAGGGCCCGCAGCATAGTGGCCAGAGGGAACCCTCTGGATTTTAAAGCTTTGATGTTGACACAGAAACCCACCTTTTTTTCTTTATTTCGTATACTCTTAATATTTATATGGGACATTTACATACATACCACCCAATTCCCACGTATTTACATATCTAACACTTACATAAGAATTGAGTGGTATATATGTAAATATTTGTAATAATTATTAATGTGGAAATGCTCAGCCGCTGGCTCATCGTTTGCTGGATGATGAGCCTGCATGATTTCTGTGTCATGTTTGCTTTCAATGGCCTGAAGATTTTTCTTGCTGAAAATTTTGGGCTGCCAATTCCTATTTATTACTTTGGGAAAGGACCCTTTTTTGTTTTTAATTTAGGAGCTAGTGATTGTTGCCTTCGAAGCCGGAGCTTGTTGGTTTGGGACATTGTCGAACGAACGCCAACTCCTAAACTGTATTGAATGAATACGGCACAATCTATATGTATTTACATGTATAGCACCCAATGTTTGATATTTACGCTAGTAACACTTTGGCATCACAAATTTATGCATGAAATGGTGAATTTCAAATTTTTATATATGATATCATAGATTTGAATGGTGTGCTTATAAATATGAATTTCTAGGTGTTAGATATGTAAATAAATAAAAATTGTGTGGAATGCAAATGGCAAATAATTAAAAAAAAGAAAGAACATTCCGAACAACTTCATTCATTTTTAGAACATCCCATAGTCTTTGCCATTTAACTATGCGATCCTTCGACATTTCATATCCATGAATTTCGTTCTCTTAACTATTTATATGTATGATAGCCCATTCGATCTTAAGGGCATTTTGATCACTATAGGGCCATTATGTGTATCAAATATGAGGTTCAAGACCAATCCCAAGCCGAAGCCCATATTTGGATCATCGTGAAATTTATGACGTTATATTTCTTTAATATTTGTATGAATGATGAAAAGTATCTAAGGAATGCATCCGCAAATTCTCTGTTAAAGTCATCATTTTTCCAAGAGTATATCCCAAGTTGGAATTCGAGTCTTTTTTTAAGAACTTGTTACTTTTCGATTTTATTCCACATTAATAAGGGAAATAATTCAAGCATATGTTGGCCTCATTTATTACATTAAATCCCACATTATTGTAAACAAAGTAATTAAGACACATTACTCACAATTTATGAAGGGGTGCTATCAATTGTAAAAAAAAAAAAGGCACTTTAAATAAAAGTCTAGCCAGCAACAATGAATGATGAGTCTTCATAACTTTAAGCAAGTTCAACCAAGTTTGAGGAGATAATTAAACATTTTAATCTTTGATTGGCCACACCTGTCTATATATCATTAAGATGGGCTACAACTATTAGGGTTTAGGGTTTAGAAAAATAAATATTTTATTATATAAACTGTATTTTACTAGTAGTATTTTTCTTAATGGATCAAATCTAAACTTGAAAATTTTTAAATTTCTTTAAGACTTGAATTCATAAAACAATTGTCATGTTGGATTGCTCTTAGAGATTTAGAAAGTTTTATACCAACATTGCAACATATCATCACCATTTTCTTGTAAAGCTAAATTTAATTTTTAATCTCTCCATGAAATTATTTTAATGACTATGATTGCCTAAATTTTGATGCACCTACCTTCTAACCATTTGATGCAACATAGTTTAAAAATTAATGGTAGATAAAAGAGAAAAGATAATGATGTGGCTAAATGGATTATCTAAGTATTATATGATTTGATTTAATGTTCTCGAAATTGGATCAAACTGACAAGCTCAACCTTTTCAATCGTGAACCAAGCATATGGTCAGCTAGGGTAGCCTCAAGAATCATTTCTGATCTTGACCGGTGTAAGTTGATGTGAATCTTTGGTCGAGCCAATCTGGATTATATAGAACCATTTGGTTCGAATTATCAGTTTAGTTATCTTTAATTCTCAATTAAACGACTAAAATCTAATTATAAAAATTATGTTAAGTCAAACATATAAATATGAAATTCAAAAACCTTAGATTTAGGGGTGAGCACTCAATCAACTAGAATGGTTTGATTTTTAAGTTGGCCAAACCAATTGCACCCAAAATCTAAAATTGAAGGTTATAAATAAAAATTATTTTGGTATGTATATACAATCATAGTGGTATGTATATATATTAATTTTTATATACAATCATAGTGGTATGTATATATATAAATAAAAATAATATTATAAATAAAAATTATTTTTTAAAATTTTTTGTATTATAAAATTTTCATTCTTATTAATTATTATAAACTATAGTGTTCATATAAATTATGCTTATATTATATATTATTATTATATTTATATATCTATTTTTTTTTATTTTAATATATATATTATAACATATATACAATTATGTTTTGGACGAAATTTACATTAAATTTTAAATTATAACCATTAAAAATGTTATTTATGTTAAAATTCTGTTTATTTTTATCATATATTTATCACATATTAAATTTATATTCATCCTTTGGCCATTAGTAGTTCTTCTTCTGATTTTTTTGTTTGGAAGGAAATGTTAAAATTCTATAGTTGTACAGAAAAGTTTCTTTTTTGGGATATTGGAGAGGGTTTATGTAGCTTTTCGTATGACAATTGGTTGGGTGATGGACCTTTAGCTGATTCTTATGGTGGTCCTCATGAGGTTAAGATGATCTGAAGGAGCTGTGGTCTAATAATAATTGGGATCTTCTTGAACTTTCTGATTTGATGAGTGAAGAAGATTCTCTTTAGATTTCTAAAATTCCTATCAATGTTGGGGTGAATGGTATTTAGTTCAAAGGTAATTTGAGTAATTCTACCTCATTTATTTTTGCCAATTCTCTTATTCACTCTAAGGGTCTTGACTTGCATTGGGCTTGGAACTCATTTGTGAAACATTCTCAATCCTTTTTATGTTGGAGATTGCTTCATAAAATTATTCCTACATATGATATTTTTAAACTTAAAGGTATTTGATTACCTTCTTGGTGTCGTTTATGTAATATTCATGAGGAAGAGGTTGATCATATTTTTTGCAATTGCTCCTTTTTTATGGAGGTTTGGGATATGGTCTTTTCTTTGTTTGACAGGAAGTGGAAGAAGAATCCGGTTCAGTATATAGATGGACTGATTTTGTGTTGGAATAATACAAGTGGTTTGTTTTTTGTTTATATTCTGATTGTGGTATTTTGGCTCTTATGAACTACAAGAAATGATAGTAAGCATGCTGGTAAAATGAT